TGGGGGAATGCAACCGGTAAAGAAATGGTATTCAAGTGTCAAAAAAGATGCATTAGGGCTATTTGTAATCTGCAGTCTACCGACAGCTGCTACACTTTCTTTAAAGACCTCAAAATTTTGACGGTCCCCTCATTATACATCTATGAGACTGGTATGTTCGTTAAAAACAATTTTAATAATTTTGACCGAGTAAACAGTCAACGTCGTTGTGACCAGTTACACTTATTAAAATCTAGAACTGCACTATACAGGAACAGTATCTTTGCAATGGCTCCAAAAATTTATAATAAACTGCCTAAATATATAAGAAATGAAAATAATATTAGACTTTTTAAACGTAAATTGACATTATTTTTAATTGACAAGACATATTATTCTATTGACTTATTTCTAAATGATAAATTTTGACATACCATCATGATTCTTATATACTTGTTTAATTTAAATATATTAATAATGCTTGGTACCTGCCTAACTTAATAACTATTTGTACACCAATTTTATTGGTAGAACATAGAGATGCTATTAATGTATGTTAAACACCCTTCTGTATAACCTGTGTTCACAAATAAATTGATTTGATTTGATTTGATTTGATTTGACTTTTAGCGTCGTGTTTTTGAATGGCGAATTTTCGAAGAATGACTGGTATGTCGATTCGGGTGCGAGTGCTCATTTGACCGCCAATGAAAATTGGCTGAAGAACACCTCGACTGATCATTCTATTAAAGAGATTCTGGTTGCCAACAAAGAAAAGGTGATTGTCAAATGTTCAGGTGATGTGCAAATTGCTACAATTACAGATGATTGTGAATATGATGTGGTTGTTGAAAAAGTTTTATGTGTTCCCAGTTTAACCACCAATCTATTGTCAGTCAGTCAATTGATAGCAAGAGGCAATAAAGTATATTTTACTAGTGATGGTTGTCAAATTTACAATCAAGATGACAAGTTAGTTGCCACAGCTTGTTTGATAAATGGTGTCTACAAATTAAAAATGCCTGAAAGGTTCCTAGCTGCAGTGGCGATTCCAAGTGATATATGGCATCGACGGTTAGGTCATCTGAATAGTAGCTATTTGAATAAAATGCACAATGCAGTGGAAGGGCTCACACTCGACAGAAAGGCTAATATTTCGAAGTCGTCGTGCATAGTGTGTTGCGAAGGCAAATTGAATCGATTGCCTTTTCCACAGAATGGCAGTAGAAGTGATGATTTACTTCAGGTTGTTCACAGCGATATATGTGGGCCATTTAGCAATGTCTCTATTGGTGGTTCAAGATATTACATTTTATTTATAGATGACTACAGTCGAATGATGTCTATCTATTTCCTGAAAAATAAAAGTGAAGCCCTTGATTGTTTTAAAAAATATAAAGCATCTGTTGAGAATCAACTAAATAAGAAAATTAAGAAGCTGCGTACTGACAATGGAATGGAATATTGTAATAAAAAGTTTGAAGAATATCTCAGCAATGCTGGAATTGGTCATCAAAAGAGCAATCCTTACACCCCAGAACAAAATGGCTTGGCTGAACGCAGCAATCGTACAGTGGTGGAAAAGGCAAGATGCCTATTGTTTGATGCTGGTTTGAATAAAAGTTTTTGGGCTGAAGCAGCACATACTGCTGTTTATCTTCAGAATAGAACAGTAGCAACAGCTTTAAATGAGAAGACACCATATGAGATGTGGACAAAGAAGAAGCCAGACATAAGTCATTTGAGAGTTTTTGGAAGTATAGTGATGATGCATGTTCCTAAAGAAAAAAGGTTGAAGTGGGACAAGAAGGCTGAAAAAGGAATACTAGTTGGTTATCCAGAGGATGTAAAAGGTTATCGAATTTACAATCCAGAAACAAAAGGAGTTACAACCAGCCGTGATGTAATCATTATTGAAAAACCTAGACAGGCAGAAAGTCCAGTGCAAATCGAAGAGAAAATACATTCAAACACTGAACCAAAGGCTGAATGCTCTGAAGTATTTCTAGATTCAGTGGGGGACATATCATATGAATCTGAAAGTAAAGATTATCATGATAGTGATGAAACTTACATCCCTGATGAAGATGATTGCTCCAGTAGTGGTGAAAGTGAAGTGAGTGTTGTTAAAAAGGATTTGTGTAGGCGCAGGCAGCCACCAAATAGGTATGGTTTTTCAAATGTTTGTTTGGAAAGTGCTAGTTCAATAGATGATAGTGAACTGTCATTGGAAGATGCGTTAAATGGACCTGAGAAAGAACAGTGGTTAGAGGCAGTGAAAGATGAGTTACAGTGCTTTGAAGACAATAATGCGTGGGAACTTTCTGAGGTACCTGTTAATAGTACTATTGTTCAGTCTAGATGGGTTTTGCGTAAGAAGTTTGATAGCGAAAATAGGGTAAGGTTTCGTGCCAGATTAGTAGCTAAAGGCTTTTCTCAAAAACAAGGTATAGATTATACAGAGACCTTCTCGCCTGTTGTTAGGCACACAACCCTACGTTTATTATTTTCACTATCAGTGCAATTGGGGCTCCATGTAACACATCTTGATGTGAAAACTGCTTTTCTCAATGGTGACCTAGAGGAAACCATATATATGTATAAACCAGATTGTTATAATATTCCAGGTAGTAATAATAAAGTGTTAAAACTTAAGAAAGCCATTTATGGTTTGAAGCAGGCCTCTAGGGCCTGGAATGAGAAATTAGATAGGTGTTTGCTTGAAAGTGGTTACAAGAAATCTAAACTTGAACCGTGTATTTATACAAGGAACATTGATAATCATAAAACTATTGTTGCAGTTTATGTTGATGATTTTTTTATTTTTAGTAATGATGACAAGGAATGTTTAGACCTTAAGAATACATTGTCAAATAAGTTTACAATAAAAGACCTAGGTCAAGTGAAACAATGTCTGGGAGTGAATATAAAGTTTGATAAGTCTGAAGGTTCTGTAACCTTAAGTCAAGAAAATTATATTGATAGTTTGTTACATAAATTTAACTTGATAGATTGTAAGACTTGTGATACTCCAATGGAGACTAAGCTTAATGTAAACATAGGTCAGAATGTAAATGATAAAGTGCCATTTAGACAGCTTATAGGTAGCCTAATGTATTTATCAGTTTTAACTAGACCAGACATAACCTATGCTGTCAGTTATCTTAGTCAGTTTAATAATAGTCACACAGATGAGCATTGGGGTTATGCCAAGAGAATATTAAAATATTTAAAAAAAACTAAATCATATGGCATTAAATATTGTAGAAATGGTAATTCTGTAATAAAAGGTTTTGTGGATGCTGATTGGGCAAGTAATACTATAGATAGAAGATCTTACACTGGATTTTGTTTCTTGTTATCAAATGGTGTAATTTCTTGGGAGTGTAAGAAACAAAAAACAGTAGCTCTATCTAGTTGTGAGGCTGAGTATATGGGGATTTCAGAAGCTTGTAAAGAAGCCATATATTTAAGAGCATTGCAGTTTGAAATAACAGATAAAATGTACACTTTGGATTTATATAATGACAATCAGAGTGCACAAAAACTGTCGAGAAATCCTGTGCTACATAAGCAATCAAAACATATTGACGTAAAGTGTCATTTTGCTCGAGAGTGTGTATCAAATAATATTGTAAAATTACATTATTTGCCGACAGATAACATGCCTGCTGATTTGCTAACCAAAAGTTTATGTTCAAAGAAACATTATATGTTCATGAAAATGTTAGGTGTGGTTAGTGTATAATTGATTGTTTTGTTAAAAACGTACTTGTTGTGTTTCTGTGATTATTTGAGATAGTGGGGGTGTTAAATTGGATCTCAACATAATCATTTGTATTGAATATCTGTGGTCATAATAGAATATAAGTGCATTCCTGTATTGTCTATGATTATTATAAAAAGAATATATTGTTTTTAGTTCTGTTTCCGGATCTCAACTCCGTTGTTTTATTATAAAAAGTAGTCTATGTGACATATACCAATACACACAGCGCCATCTATACCAATAATTTCGTTTTCCCTCGGGAATATCAAATTTTTCCAGGTTAAAAAGTACCCAATTATTTAATCCGGACTTTTAACTTTACGTCTGCAAAAATTCAAAGCAATCGGTTTAGTAGTTACGGCGTGAAAGTGAAACAAGCAAACAAACTCACTTTCCGACTTATAATATAAGTAAAGAATAAGGAAGTAAGGATTAAATAGGGATCATGACAGGGTATGAAAAGTAAAAATCTAATTAGTCCGTCACTTAGGTAATGAAAAAATTGTAGACACGTATTTTTTTATTTTGTCGTATAAGAAAAGAATGCTTAGATAAAACGAATCAAAGTTTAGGAGTGGGGACTAAAACGTCATTTCTACGTATAAAATGTACACAGAAGTGACGTCACGCGACATTTCAAATTAATATAATATCTTGGTAACTATTCGTTTCCGTAAGAAAATAAAAAATACGTGTCTAATGTTTTTAAATAATCTACCAGACGGACATTAAAATAAAAATTAGTCGTCTATATTGTAATCATAGTATCATTATCATTTTGGTTCTCATTCATCACCAATATCAGCTCCTTTACATCCACTACTGGACATAGGCCTCTTTAATAGCATGTCATCGTCATTTGTCATTTTACTTTGAACAGTAAAATACTTTAAACAACACTAACGCCATCTAGCATTAAAAAAACCTCGTCATCGACTTATTTCCATTCTTTATCCACTTAACCCGGTTTGACTGCACGGTTGGCGCGGTGGCTGGGCTAGTGGCTGCCGCGGAACGTGTAGCGGGTTCGATTACCGTACGGAGCAGCTCTTTGTGATGATCCATAAATGGTTGTTTCGGGTCTAGGTGTTATTGTGTACGCGAACTTGTATGTTTGTAAACGCACCCACGACACTGAACAAAATACTAGTGTGGAGCATCGTTTTAAAAAATGAATAAAAGAAACACACCAGACTATAAACACCACCAACGCCATCTACCGATCGCAAAAATCCCCCAATTAAGACCTCACCTTAACACCGTAGAAATGTAAGCAGAAGTTGCTGATCTTCTTAAATCCCTCTCCAGTCTTCACATAGTGAGGGTCTCCTTGCATCTGTATCTGGCAGGTGACCTGGAAGTGGTTCTTCTTCTGGCAGACGAAGGCCTCGTCTATTTGGGAGTAGTTGAAGCCCTTGTCTGCGCCGACAACGTAGGAGGGAGGTTGGCTGTGGGAGAAGAAAGCAGTATTATACGACAAAATAAAAAAAATACGTGTCTAATATTTTTTCATTACCTAACTAACGGACTAATTATATTTTTAATTTTCATACACTGTCATCATCCCAATTGAATTATGGACGGAGTATACGATTTAAGTCGGTAAAATTCCAACATAACCCTTTCTTTCATGAAGATTTTTCTCACGTTAATATAAGGTATTCACTAGGGCATGTAAAACCGGTTTTCCGGTTTTGCGCAAAACCGGAAATCGGCCAAAATTTTACGATTATTGAAAACCGGTTTTGAGAGCCAAAACCGGAGCTCAGCTCCGGTTTTCCCATTATTAAGTAACAATTAACATTTTGTTTTAATCAAATTTTTTTCAAACACTCTTACATAAATAATTAATATTGATAAAACTTACTTGTTGTTGATTTGATCTCAGTTAAATAATTTTTATACTATTATAAGTTCATTGTTATCTGTACAATTATTATGGTTTGGATGAAAAAGAAGTGAATCACACAATTTGTTTTATTTGTAGACTCAGTGGGTATTTAAAAAAACGGTTTTCTTTTTTAAATTAACTACATTGGATTTTTTTTGATAAAACCGGACCTAGCTCCGGTTTTCGGTTTTGGTACCAAAAAAACGATGTTCAAAACCGGTTTTGATGACTTTCCGGTTTTGCATGCCCTAGTATTCACGTATAAAAGACAAATAAATAAGCTAAAGTATTACTCACAGTGGCTTCAAATTGCAGTCATATAGAGAATGCCAGACGTTTTGCTGGAATGGTCCGAATCTGATGCACTGTAGTGGAGCATCGTCACCAGCCTCAGATCCATCTACTGATGGAGGTGCTGGCCGAGGCACGTGGGTTACACTCTCGGGGGATAATGCCGCTGGAGACAAAAATGATGGTAAAGATTTTGATGCTGATGATGATGTACTTCCCTCCATAATCTCTCCAATCCCCAATAATTCTTAAACTCCTAATCCCCAAAAGGCCAGTTACGCACTTGTAACACCTCAGGTGTTTCAGGTGTAGATGAGCGACGCCGATTGCTTACCATCAGGTGATCCGTCTCCTCTTTTACTGGCTGATTTCATAAAAAAAGTACCAACCATAAGGGATGGGCCGTCACATAAAAATTGAGAGTATCCTTCTCCTTTTTTGTCATGATTTTCGGTGCGTTGAGTTATCCATACATATCCCCATCCAAACCCAGTTCCCAAAAGGACGACAAAGTATTTATAACTCAACTGGTGTTGCACTGGATGACACCGATTGCTTACCATCAGGTAATCCATCAGTTCGTTTGCCAATATAATATGTAACATTATTAAAATGGCATCTCATTCAGCAAAAAATATAGGAATAACTATAAAAGGAGTACACTCAATAGGTTTTGGCCAAATAACCTACCAGGCTCACATTTGACTTGAGAAGTGTCCTGTGAGTGCTTCCTCTTCTTCGTGCTCGGTTCCTGGAGGCTGGTGTACACTGGAGTCAAAGTCTCATGTCCAAGAGCCACCAGCTGAGGGTTTATCATACCCTGCTCCAGTTCTGGCATGTCCACCCGCATCTGGCTGTATCTGGAAAGGGCATAAGGTTGAAATGGTGATTAAACAATTTATGAATTGATGTTTTTGCTAAGTTTGGGTTTATTCATGTAATTTTTATTATTTTGCTAGATACTTCATCTTGTACCAGTTGTACAAGATGAAATTTTCCAGTTCCTTTTTGTGTTGTGCCTTTAGGTTGAATTCATTCTGTCTCCTGCAGTAATTCACCGAGAGAAGTGGAAACTATTGTCTTTTTTTTCTTCTCCTCTTATCATATCTTCTGATTCACTTCGTTGCGGGAACCAAGACTGTTACAGCTCATGTCCCTGAGACTTCAGTGTTACCGTGTTTTCAATTTTATATCTACTGTGAATCCTGGCTTACAGGAGTTGCAGCGGTTTTGGGAGGTTGTGACGGACATGTCCAAAATAGAGAAAAATAACTTCATCTGAAGTTAATTTAATTTGAAGTTTATTATGAAGCATGATCTTCAAACTCAACCCTAGTTACAGGTATGATTATCGAGCTCGAAATTATCATTGAATCAATAAATTATGGTATGCATTAACTATTCTATTGCCATGCAGTACATAAATAACAAAATTCACGACATACCTGTTCTGATAAACATCACCCAGTCCCAAATCATGTCTGACTGTCCTGATCCCCAACTCCACAATATTGGAGTCCTGTGGTAGAACCACTACATCACTGAGGTTACTCCTCAACCCATCAATGTTATCCGTCTTCAGCTCCTCATAAATGTAATCTCCATTTTGCTGGAGAATCTCCTGGGTTGGTATGTGGTCATGGACCAGCATGTAGTCCGAACTGAGGACCGTTTGGGGTAAAGATATGGCATGGGAGACTTGAGGGTCTGATGGACTGTAGGGGTTCTCTGAACCCGAGTCCGGTGGACTTTCTGGTAGCTGGTGGCCTCTGTAAGGGAATTATTTGTTTAGTTTTATGAGGTTGTTTTTTTATTTATTGTTGAATTACTGTTATACCTGTCTTTGGAATCGCTCTAACCGTTAATAAAACAACATAAAAAATGAACTACCTCGTTGGCCGAGTGGTCGCAAGTGCTACTACCAGCCAAGGGGTCTCGGATTCGATTCCCGAGTCGGGCAAAATAAGACTGTTTTTTTAGAAATTCTCAGTAGGTGCACGGAGCCTGTAATTGTGTCCGGTATATGGCAATAAACTCACCCCCTATTACATGGGACTCATAACATAAATAGTGAAAAGTGGGTGTTGCATTGTACAGTGGCATTAAGTGCCTTAATGTGCACCTCTCACCTAAATTTAATTAAAAATAGCATACAATGGAGAGAAGTGCTTTAATGGTTACAATTATGTGCTTACCCGGTCCGGCGCGGGTCGATAGCTTGCGGTGCGTAGCATCCTTCGCCGACGGAGCTCATATACGCCTCTATGTCCAAATCCTCTATAAAGCCTGGACCTGAAACAATATAAATAAATTAAATTAATAAATGCTACATCATGACCACGACACATTTTACCAAACGACGTAATTTTGCGCTTAATAACGCTTGTGCGACCATTTCGCACAAGCGTTATTTAAACGCGCGTTAAAAATCATTCACATTCTTCATTCATCCGCTTTATAGGCAGATTTGTTGCATTTTCAACGCTGGGCTTTGGGTGCTAAAGACTACATTGAATTGCATACATAGTTATGATGTGTATCAACGCCGAATTTGAACGTGATATTAAAAATTCTCCGACGAAAAATGAACTTACAAGTATAACATATTTTTTTTGGAAATTTTAACCGATTTTAGCGTTTTTTTTATGGCATAAGCCGGTAAACGAGCAGACGGATCACGTGATGGTAAGCAATCGGCGTCGCCCATGGACACCTGGAACACCAGAGGCGTTATAAAGATCTCAGTAGTAGCACGGAGTCTGGAAATGTGTATGGTATATGGCAATAGGCTCACCCCCTATTACATGGGACTCATAACATAAATAGTGAAAAGTGGGTGTTACATTGTATAGTGGCATTAAGTGCTGTAATGTGCACCTCTGCCTACCCCTTCGGGAATAAAAGGCGTGATGTTATATGATTATAAAACAATTTAATTTTTGTACATAAAGGCTAATCTTATATCATTTATTATACGGTCGCGTGTGTGATATTACTGAATAGTCCGTCATACTTTCCGCATATCACTTCTAACACTATCACTTTTACAAGCGCATAATAAGTAAGTAATATTAATTGCGCCTTTGGTTATTCTGATATTCAATGTTTTATAACTTAACCTGTCGTGGTGGCCCGGAGGTTTAAGACGCCCACTTCTCATGCATGAGGGGTGCGGGTTTGAAACTCACCAACGGCAAGTACCAATGTGACTTTTTCCGAGTTATATGTACTTTCTGAGATTATTTAGACACCACTGACAAACGGTGAAGGAAAACATCGTGAGGAAATCTGGGCTTATAATTTGTAATTATAAGTTTGAAATCACCAACTCGCATTGAGCAAGTGTGGTGATTAATGCTAAAACCTTCTCAGTACGAGAAGAGACTGCTTAGCAGTGGGTATTTATAGGCTGTTGATGTATGATAACTTAACATCACAGCTTGTAATACAATAGTCAATGTGCAGTATGTATTGACACCAACGCTTATGTATGGTAGTGAATCATGGGTGTGGCAGAAGAAGCATGGAAGCAGGATTAACTATTTTACAAGATAATAACACTAGAAAACTCAAAAGTATTAAAACTTTTATAAATGCCGGGTATTAGTATGGGTTTAGGTAATAGGACTTAGGTAATAGGATATTTGTATCCCGATTAAATATTCCCATGTGATAAAACAGGAAGTGGACGAAGTCGTGGGCAACTGTTAGTAGGCAATTTTAGGTGTGGGAGAGCCATGCTTCAGCACGAATGGGCCGGCTCGACCGGAGTGATACCACGGCCGAGCAGAAAACTGACGTGAAATAACTCTTGCGTTGTGTTTCGGTTTCCCTCCTCTCCAGTCTCCCCAATCCCCGAATCCTCCACAATCCTCAAATTCCCAATTCCCAAAAGGCCGGTAACGCACTTGTAACGCCTTGGTGTTCCAGGTGTCCATGGGCGACGCCGATTGCATCACGTCGGTTTTCTGTGAGGCAGTGGTATCACTCCGGTCGAGCCGGCCCATTCGTGCCGAAGCATGGCTCTCCCACACTTATACACATGTATTTTTTTCTTAACTACCTACCTATTATTATTTTATTTAAAACCACTCACAATTTGCACTACTATAAAACTTATCTGTTATAGTACGACTTGTATGGTTTGATGGACAACACTTACTGTCTTTGCTTGTTACACGCATGCGCACACGATCGCATTTCCGCAACCCTACTATGCGCGTACGCATGAAGTGTGAAGGGATCTAGATTTTACATTTTATTGTGTTAATTGTTTTGTATTTGTATTGGTACAGTTTAATGAAACAATTTGGCAGTGCAACTGTGCTACATTTGGCAATCCCATAAATAAATGTTATTCTACTATTTAGGTATTTCTATTTAGGTAGCCTAGGCTAAGTGCATCTGTATTACTACGACTACAACAGGATCCGAAGAATTTAACTATCCCATGAAGTACCGTGGAAAACCGTCTAAGTGTGGGAGAGCCAAATGGGTCGGCTCGACCGGAATGATACCACGGCCTCACAGAAGACCGAAGTGAAATAACGCTTGCGTTGTGTTTCGTCGTATGAGGGAGGTTACCCAAATACCCTTCCCTCCTTTCCAAATTCCTAAACCCCCAACAATCCTTAAATTCCTAATCCCAAAATCCCAAAGGTGTTCATGGGCGACGCCGATTCCTTACCATCAGGTGATACGCAAGGTCGTTTACCGGTTTATCCCATAAAAAAAATTCTGTGCATCTACAGTAGATACAACTTTTTTTTTATGGGACAAGCCCGCCACAACCTCCCAAAACCGCTTCCACTCCTGTAAGCCAGGATCTAAAGTAGATACAACCATGAAAACACCGGAACACTGAAGTCCGGCGCGTCCCAGGGACATGAGTCTTGGTCTTGGTTCCCGCAACGAAGTGAATCAGAAGATATTATAAGAGGAGAAGAAGAAAAAACTATAGTTTCCACTTCCCTCGGTGAATTACTGCACGAGACACAACAGTAGATACAACTATGCAAACACCGAAACAATGAAAGTCCCGCGCGTCTCAAGGACATGAATAACTGTCTTGGACCGAGCCAGGGAGCTTACTCCATATCCTGACCATCCTGGATAGAAAAAGTCTCTCAAAACGTGTGGTATTTGATTGATAAGTTATTCAACTAGAAGTGTACGGATTACGGAACAACATTACTTGTCAATTGTCATGCGTGTGTGACCGACACTTTCTTTGATGCGCACACATTTGTCGCATGTCACGCTATGCGTACGAGGTGATTGACTGGCCTTGTGAAACACCTAACTTCTATGCATATAGAAATTATAAATAATACCTTTTTCGTGGTTATTAGTTCATTATTAACCCTTTGAGTACCGTCATTATAGACACAATTAAAGAACAATAGGTTGCGGTCACCGGTGTCCTCTCGGTGTTTGACAGTTTAAAGGATGACAAAGGCCTCTAAGAGCCATCAGACCACCACGGGGCCCAATAGGGCTGATGCCGATACGGAGCCGAGGAGGACTTAACGGGTTGCCGGGGCTCCGGCGCGAAGTGCAAGAGTAGGAACAGGGTAATTTTTAGTCAGTAAGAGTCTGACACTCCCTCCCGCCTCACCTGGGCGGGAGAAGTAATTCGATCCTTTTCCCCCTTAAAAAAACGATACAATTTCTGTCATTCGTTGTATGAAGTTTCTATTAAAATTGATCATAATCAACTTTAACAGAAACTGGGTAGTGATGCTCTCTCATAATCATATTACGTGCTGGACTAAGGACCTCCTCTACATAAGAGAGTTTATCAAGATAACTATGGTTTTAATAGGACAACTCCGCCACAACTTCCCAAAACCGCTGCGGCTCCTGTAAGCCAGGATACACAGTAGATACAATCATGAAAATACTTCAGTATTTCCGGCGCGTCCCAGGGACATGAATAACTGTCTTGGTTCCCGCAATGAAATCAATCAGAAGATGTTATAAGAGGAGAAGGAAAAGACAATAGTTTCCACTTCCTTCGGTGAATTACTGTAGGAGACCGAATTGATTAAGCCTAAAAGCACTAAAAAATGTAACTACGCTTGCCGGGTGACTTGGAGATCACAGTTTAAATGGTTCAGGTTTATCAGAGGGCTGCTGCCTGGCCTCTGTCAATGCGGTAGTGCCCCAGTCAACTCTTACGATTACGACAAACGTAACGCACTTGTAACGCCTCTGGTGTTCCATGTGTTCATGGGTGACGCCGATGTTTACCATCAGGTGATCCGTCGGTTCGTTTACGGCATATACCATAAATAATACATATAAAGTAGTGGTGATCACAAATGTACTATATTTGCCATCACATTCAACCTACACAGTTCATAGATCTTGAACACTTAGAGGCGTAATATCAGTAAACATAGCTAATATTGTTTCACGGTGTAGCAATGCGTGACGAGTAATCAAGAATGTACTATTACTATAATAAATTATGCAAGCATTTGCAAGTCCTATTGGCTATTACCTCTAATCATTATGTGGGAAAACCCAGGAGGTATTACCTATTATTGCTATAGGTTCTGCACATTTTAAATACTGTACTTCATCATTTGTTAAACACTATTCCGTCAGCGATTTCGGCAGAGTTGGATAAAAAGTAGCCTATATCATATTTTAGACCACAATGTACCACTGTTCCGATTTGAATTTCGATCTGTTTAGCTGTTTTGACGTAAGGAACAAGCAAACAAACTTTCGTATTTATAATGTTAGTAGGATTGTGATTTAAGGAGGAGGCGGGGCGCGCGAGGGTACGAACTTCCTCACGCCCAAGCTATCGCGAGAGACTCTCCGGCGTCGGGGATCGCGAGACGGTCTCCGGCCACCGTAAGCGCGGGCCTGCGGATGGCGAGCACGGGTAACTTGCCATCTGAACACAACCAGGACCGAGACTACGGCGCGTCGCGTTCCGTGCGCGCCTCAAAGAGCCATCACACCACCACAGATGGAGGGCCCAATAGGGCTGATGCTGATATGGAGCCGCGGACGACTTATCATGTTGCCGAGGCGCCGGCTCGAAGTGCAGTAGGAACGGGGTAGTTTTTAGTCAGTAAGAATCTAACAGCCTCAGCCAGGCGGGGAGAAGTCATTGGATGATTTTCCCCCCTCAAAAAATGTAGGATCATAATGCCGGCAGAGTAGAATTTAGAAATCTTATTACCATCGCATCTATATCAGCGAATCTCGTAAGAGTCCGACTAAGAGACTAGTGGGAAATCTATGCTTCGTTACGAATGGGCCGGCTCGACCGAAGTGATACCACGGCCGAGCAGAAAACCGACGTGAAACCACACTTGCTTTGTGTTTCGACGTATCACTCTGGTCGAGTCGAAGCATGATTCTCCCACGTGAACTTAAAATGAGTTATCAGCACAAAATTAATTGTTAAAGCCATAAATAAACAAACATTAATTAATATGACATAATGCAACATTAAAATTGATATAAAAATAATTAACTGGCAACCCGAGGGACCCTGCAGATAATCATGCGCAGGAGTCGATGGCACAGCTTGAATAAGTGATGATCGAAGTGAAAGGATTGAGGTGAATGGCTTGTGCACGACTCAACGTTTACTGTGTGGGGTAAGGCAGAAGTATTATTATATCGACTTGAAGAATAGTTTTGTTTATCTACAATACTAATGTCATTTGTTTGTCATGTCAATATGTCACTAAATACTAACTATTTTATTTAATATTACAACGCAATAAAAACTTAAATAATATTAAAATTAACTATTACTAAATTAATAATAAAATATATGTAAATGAAGAAGCTAAGTTAGCCCTTCATTTAATTTAAATTTCCCGCGTATTTTGGTTTAGACTTTATACGTCAGTATAATCTGTGGTGACAGCTTTTTTCCACTATGTCAAAGACAATGGTTTTGTTTCGTCTCGAGATTTTAGAATAAGCGCGAAAGATATTTGTGGAAATTATTTTTAAAATAAGGATACAAAGGATTGTTTGAAGCAATAGCTCTTAATGTTGTTTCTTTTACAGAGCAACAACACAAGTATCTTGTTTCAATAACCAACCTATTACATATATACAACTATATCGACTTGTATTATCATCTGATTCGAGTAAAGGAACCACCCTTTATCTGTAAAGGTATTAGAGAGATTATTACAGATATTTGACAGAAACTCAAAATTCAAATTCAAATATCTTTTTCTAAGATTATTTAGACACCAATGACAAACGGTGAACGAAAACATTGTGACGAAACATGGACTTATAATTTCTAATTATAAGTTTACAATCGCCAACCCGCATTGAGCAAACGTGGCGATTAATGCTCAAACCGTGTAAGACCAGGCTTTTGGTCAGCAGTAGCCATTTATAGGCTGTTGATGTTGATGTGATGTGATCTAAATATTAAAGTAACCCTAAATATTACGTTATCGGAAACGAAACGAATAATAAGAAAATATAATCCGAAAGGGAAAAATATATTTTCTAGTGTTTTTTTATTTATATATTTGATAGGCCGACGTTTGACCACTATATCTAGCAATGATGCGGTCTACGCTGGAGCACGTCGCCCCATCAGCAATCTATTCACTCGGGCCTTGAAGACTCCCAGGTTATACCCTTCAGGAACACAGACTCTGGCAAAGAATTCCACTCCTTAGCAGTACGCACAAGGAAGGTTGATGCGAAGCGCTTCGTGCGTCATATTTGTATAGTGGAAGTTAAGAAGTTAAAAAATGAGACTTCTGCACTTATCTGTCTCCTCATGAATATTACTGAATCTCCACAATGCGGTATGTTGTCACTTCGACATTTTACACTCACGGTAATTGTAGCATTACTTTAATTCTATGTTAGTTTGTTTGTGGTATATTCCTTTATTAAACTAGGATTTTCTTAGGTTCATCCTTACTTATATTATACATCGGAAAGTGAGTTTGTTTGTTTGTTCCGCCTTCACGCCGTAACTACTAGAAAGTAGTTGAAGGGATGGATAGTCACATAGACTACTTTTTATCCTTTTGTGACGCGAGCGAAGCCGCGGGTACAAGCTAGTCTTATATAAATGCTATTATTTAGGTACTGGTATTAGTATTATATATGAATGGCCCTATGATCAAACTCCAAACTATACACAAATAGTTCTACCCAAAGAGACCAAAGATTCATTTCGTGTTATCGGAACATAAATAATGAGTAAACTTCACAGTATTACGACTATTATCTAAGATTTTGGGTCAAGGGAACCGTTGACATAATTGTGCCAATTAATTATTGGTATCTATATATTTTTGTTAGTCATAACTTATCTGGCGACAAGGGTTTCATCAGCATCATCAACAGCATCAACAGATTGAGGCCGATCCCTATTCGTAAAGGCCTCCTCTACATAAGAGAGTTTGTCATCCTACTGATATTTATTTATTTATTTATATAAAACCTTACCTAAACTACCATTACAGGTTTCTCCATTGCGATAGCTAGGCCTTAAACTAAATCTATGTAACGTCCAATTATAACAAAATCATAAATTAAAAAACAAAAACAAATATTATAAATGTGAAAGACTTTATGTAACATCAAAGGTCAAAAGTCCACTGCCACCGCAAGACTACTATCGGTTGCGCTGCAGCGCTTATACACACATGCACACGTATATTTTTATCCGTGTGCGTACGCGTGCGTGTGTTTATGCGTACGCACGCGTTTTTATGCTCATTAATATGAATTTACTTACGCATTGCCGTGTGAACATCACTCACGGTGGCAGTGGACTTTTGACCTTTGACTGTACAAATGTTTACTTGTTACTCCTTCACACACAACGGCTGATGGGATTGGGATAAAATTTGAAACAAGGGTAGATTATGGTATGGAATAACTAATAATTAATTCGGTTATTGAAATTGGCAGTCAGTCGGCTCTATTGTAACCCACGGCAAGAGTAGTGATGGTGCCAAATCGCCACGTTATGAATGTTATTTTCATAAATATGTTTGTTGACCCAGAATTCGATGTAAGTGCAAACTAATATAATTTAGTTCAAGGATAGTTTATTGGTCTACAACTGATAATTAGATGAGTTGATAACCTTTCTATATTAAGATAGATGTTATATTTAATTGCGATCTTGGTCCATTATTGAATTAATCGACTCTTTGATAGTACTTAAATTTTCTAGGAAAATCATATTTTCGCCTGCCTCGTTGGCCGAGTGGTCGCAAGTGCGACTGCCAGGCAAGGGGTCTCGGGTTCGATTCCCGGGTCGGGCAAAGTATTACTGGGTTTAAAAAAATCTCAGTAGAAGCCCGGAGTCTGGAATTGTGCCCGGTATATGGCAATAGGTTCACCCCCTATTACATGGGACTCATAACATAAATAGTGAATAGTGAAAGTTACTTCTGTGTGCACCTCTGCCTACCCTTTCGAGGATAAAAGGCGTGATGTTATGTTATGTTCATATTTTCGAAATCAACTTCAAGCAGATGTTAAGTACGCGTCTTTTTTCGTCTGTTTGTAATTCAGCATGAATTTATTTTCAAATATCAGGTAGAATTTAAGAGCAATTACCAATGTGACTTTTTCCGAGTTATATGTAGGTACTATCCAAGTTTATTGAGACACCACTGACAAACGGTGAAGGAAAACATCGTGAGGAAACCTGGGCTTATAATTTCTAATTAGGGATAAGTTTGAAAGTTGAGTGTCAGACTCTTACTGACTAAAAACCACCCCGTTCCTACTCCTGCACTTCGAGCCGGAGCCAAATAACAAAAGGAGGGGTTACAATGGGTCGACCCGGCCGTCGCGAGAGACACTCAGGGCGTCGGGGATCGCGAGACGATCTCCGGCCACCGTAAGCACGGGCCTGCGGACGGCGAGCATGGGTGACTCGCCGCCCGACCAGAACCAGGCCCGAGCGTACGGCGCGTCGCGTTCCGCGCGCGCCTCAAGGAGCCATCAGACCACCACAGATGGGGCCTAACAAGGCTGATGCCGATACGGAGCCACGGAAGACTTAACGGGTTGCCGGGGATCTTTCTTTAAAACTTTTATATCCTTCTCGACAAATGGACAACCCAACACAAATGACACAAGGACGCACAATAAACTGTTTAATATCTTGCATGTCTGACTATTAAGTTTATGTAAACGCATGTTTGACAAATAAACGATATTTCCTTCTTTCTTTCTTTCAAAAAGAATTTTCAAATTCGATCCTATACTAGATATAGCGACTGCCTCGTTGGCCGAGTGGTCGCAAGTGCGCTCGGGTTCGATTCCCGGGTCGGGCAAAATATTACTGGGCTTTAAAAAAATTACAGTAGCAGTACGGAGTCTGGAAATGTGCCCGGTATATGGCAATAGGCTCGCCCCCTATTACATGGGACTCATAACATAAATAGTGAAAAGTGGGTGTTACATTGCACAGTGGCATTAAGTGTCAAAATGTGCACCTATGTGCACCCTTCGGGGATAAAAAGGCCTGATGTTATGTTAGATATAGATTTTGCCTGACCCCAGAACACTGGTTCAAATCTGAAATACCAATATTACTCTTTTTTATGGCATTATACACAAGCAAGCAAGCAAACAAACATGGCATTCAAACAATAACGAAACGGAACACCTGCTTTTCACCACCCCACTCTTTAATCGGTAAATATTATTTATTTGACCAAATCACACAGTTGACTGAACAGGGCAATACTGCTTACCCTACACGCTAATTTGTGAGCTAAATGGTAAGGTACCCCTAAGTTGGGGGCGCTAGTGATCCGTGAAAATGCACATGGTATTAATAGCTGTAATTTTCGAAAATAAAACGCTTTGGTTCAGTAAAGTAAGGTATGGTATGAAATTTTAGATTCGATGTTTGATGTTTGGATACCGAGATATCTTTTCACGGTTTTTTCTCTTATCTACAGATAGATAGGTTATAGAAAATTGCCGTATGAGAGTATATTTTTTTTTACACTTTGTAGGTCGACGTTTGACCACCATCTCGCTTGATGGTAAGCGATGATGTGGCCGACGATGGAGCACGCCTACCTATGAGCAATCTGTTCACTCGGGACTTGAAGACACCCAAGTCATATTTGACGGGAAACAGCCTCTGGCAAGGAATTCCATTCCTTAGTGGTTCGTATGAGGAAGCTTGACGCGAAACGCTTCGTGCGAATGGGTGGAATGTCCATTGTCAATCTAACTGACATGACGGACTAATTCAATTTTTTATTTTGATTCCCTGGAAACTACCCATTTATGTGTGTATGTTGTTACTAAACTCGTAAATGACTGCACAGAATTTGATAACGACTTTATACACACGTTTTCGTCGGTTCCTAAACAGATAGTTCAGTTTCACAATTACACCCGGTAGGTGGCGCCACAGTAAATATAACAGACATACGGACATGACGACATCTGGTATATCCTTTAGCATTATGTTGAATTTGTTTGAATAGTTCCTGAGCATTGATATCCATTCATAAACCGGTTGACAAAAGACCAATTGACCATAAATGGTTGGCTGTCTACCCATAAAGCATTAAGGTCGTTTTTTTTTCTGGAACGGAAAGGCAAAGATCACTTCGGACTGAGCCAAAAAAGTCTTTCCTTTTTTAAATTAGGAAGATTTGAGTATAACTAGATTTCATTATGGGACCCAAACATATCGATAAATTATTATCTATTTTTAAAAGTAAAGCTAGTTAGTTTTAAAAATATGTGTTAAAAATACAATAATAGCCTTTGTGGTGAAAATTACAATAATATTTTTATAACTTAAGAAATTCCTACAATATGTTATTTGTTTTTTTCTTTCAGTTCTTATTAAACATAATCTAAATGTCAAGATTTGAAGTTTGCCCCTTATCTGTTTTGGATAACTAGATTCATTTATTTTAATGGATAAATTTTAGATGTAATGGCGTCTTATTTATGAGTTAATGTGTTAAGCAATACTTTTCTTATACCTTAGAATACAAAGCATTGCATTTTAATCAAAACTACAAACATAATTATTAAAATAAAAACGATACAGTACAAAAATCCAAACAAGCAAGTTCTTCGATAAAATAAAAAACAAAAGCGCTTCAGTTTCATAACATTCGGACAGATAATTAATTTATAAAAAAAACCTTTGACGTCGTGTCGTATAAGTACCATCGACGAGAGTAGATTAAAAAAAACACAGCAGACTCTATGACGTATTTGGCGCCATTTCCTACGGCCATTGTTGAATCGCGGAATGTTTAGGAGATAAAACATAGATACCTAAAAATGCGAAATTATATCGCGCGTAAAATTATTGGCATATTTTTTGACGTAAGCGTTGAAATTATTACGCGGTTCGGTGAACGAAATTCCTAATATATGCGTCATTTATATTGTGTGAATGTAATTAAGTATCATTTTGCATAAAGAGGAAAGATGAGGTTCATTATTGAGGTTAAAAACATCTTTATAGACGAAATTAATTTTCGGTTTCAACATATTAAAATAAATTTTTGACATTAGGTATTTGACTATTGAGTTTTTATCAAAAACTAACATTAATACAAATATTATGAATTAAAATTTCCGACCTTTAGAAAAATACTTAGATGCGATTGCTGTAGGTACAAAGTATTTTGATTTAATTTCTGTGATTCTACAAAATACTTATTACAATCGAATTTCATAATGTTTAATAACGACTACAATGACAAACTCTCCTTATAATAATGACCAGGACGACGTAAAATAGGAATGATATTTAATCCCCACACTAGGATTCTCTCAAGAGCCGAACGAAAGTATGTTTACAAACATACAATTTGCCTGAATTTGTGGATACCTATCTAAAAATTTAAACAAAACAAAAGTTGCGGTAGGTCATAACAAAAACAAATACAATGACTTCTTTCCGAACATAAAGTCGGTAAATTCTAATCAGTTTGAGAGTAGACCGGTACATCGGACGCGCTTATCACTGGGCAGACGGCTCGTATTACCGGCCAGCTCGTAACGCCGTGATATCGGTACCGTCGACGTACATTACACTGCATTACTGGTATTAGTTCATTTTATTAAAGCTTAGCTTAATGTTGGAAAGTAGAAACATTTGTCATCACCTTCCCAGGATGTCGTATGAACTAATAAACGTCCGAAATTACTCATCATCATTTAGAGTGCAAACCTACCAAAGGTAAGTACCAATGTGACTTCTTTACTTATACCTAGCTTCACCTAGTTTCACTGACGGACTGACTGACAGACTATTATTTATTTTGTATTTGTTGACGTTTCAAAAGTACCAAACTATGGTTTAATTGAAATAAATGCTTTGACTTTCTTAGATTATTATTTACACACCACTGACAAACGGTGAAGGAAAACAACGTGAGGAAACCTGGGCTTGTAATTCCTAAATTATAAGTTTGAAATCGTCAGCCTGTATTGAGCAAGCGTGGTTGGCAAAACCTTTTCCGTGTGAGAAGAGGCCTTTGGTCAGCAGTGGCTACCTTATAGGCTGTTCATGTTGATGTAGAAGATCCCCACAGTTCAGCATTGGTCTCTCATTGGCTGTTGATGATGATTGCTTCGCCAGTGAGACCAATGACGAATCTAACATAATTAGATTAACTCGAACGAGGAAATATTTACCGGGTTAAACAGAATCCATTAGATATACTAAAAGGTACATTTATATTACACGTGCATTTTATTACGTTATGTTATGTAAGTAATAGTAAATAATAATAGCACTAAATCTATGTTTATGCCGCGGAGAACCTAACGGGTTACCGGGGCTCCAGCTCGAAGGGCAGGAGTAGGAACGGGGTAGTTTTTAGTCAGTAAGAGTCTGACACTCACTCAGGCGGGAGAAGTGATTCGATGATTTTACCCCCTTGAAATAATACTCCAGAAAGGGTGGTCTATTAGTTATTTGTAGGCCATTTAAACCGCGATCTGCAACATTTTTTTTATAGGATAAGCCGAGCAGTGAATAGACAGATCACCTGATGGTAAGCGATCGGCGTCGCCCATGGACACATGGAACACCAGAGGTGTAACCGGCCTTTTGGAGATTAGAAGTTTGAGGATTATTGGGGATTCAGGGAAGCATTTTCATGTGTTCCATGGTCTAGTAAGTGATTGTTGATTATAATGCGAATGATTTACTGGCAGACCACAACACATTCAACATTATTTTATGAATTTCCAACTAGTCACCTAATGCACCGTTATACCTACATGGACAGCTGACACAGTTTTATATAGCTAATTATTTAATTACACACATATCAACCTGTGTTCATTAGCCAATTAAAACCGGTCTATTAGAACCACTTAGGGCTGTCACGTCCGATGATTTAAGTAGATAATTAGAATGAGAAATGAAAATATAATATAATTTATGCGTTTTTATGCCCTGGTTTAAAACAAAAAAGACCGGGTGTAAAGTTATATATATAAATGAGTAAAGATTTTTTTATGGCATAAGCCGGTAGACGAGCAGACGGATCACCTGATGGTAAAAGCAATCGAAGTCGCCCATGGACACCTGGAACACCAGAGGCGTTACAAGTTCGTTACGGGCCTTTTGGGGATTAGGAGTTTGAGGATCGTTGGGGATTCAGGGATTGGGGAGATTGGGGAAGGGGAGGGTAATGAATAAGACAAGATTAATTTATTTGCCTGAAATATGGTGTTTTACAGGTTTTATAGCATAAGTAACAATATTTATTTTTATTTATTTATTTATTTATTCATGCACACAATACACAGAAAAAAATATATATTATAAAAAACAGAGGTACATAGGTACACTGAAAATCAGTGCTGGGTAACCTGTATGCCTGGCTTATACTGAGTGGGTGACCCTTTTAGCATAGGCATGTTGTCAGCGTCTCTCTTCTAATTCTTCTGTTTTAATTTTTCAACTCAATGTTTTTATTACTTCCACTGTCACATCTTGATTGTCTTTTTTTTGTTTTTTATTTATGCTGCATCGTGCCTGGTGCTAAATAAATGATTTTTCTTTCTTTCTTTCTTACTACATATCCTTAATAGTTCATCATATCACTATAAATTCGGCAGTGAGTAAACAGATCATCTGATGGTAATATAACAGAGATCAAAGAGTAAGAAGTTACATATATTCGGCCTTTTTATAAGGAGCTCTTTCGTAGGAGAAGGTTTTAACGCTTTAAGTTATATTTACATTATGACATTCGTCTGACATATTAAATTAATTACTTTTTCGGCTTACCCACGTATCTGTTTGACAAGGAGCTTGACTAGTTTCTAGATCGAAAGTCCCTTTCGACCACTAGACCAACGACCACCGTACACTGAATAAAACTTCAACTTCAAAATCTTTTTTTTCTGTACAGGTTATAAAATGTGGATAAGAAATGGCACATTGTCAAAAATACAGAACATAACGGGTGATTCTTAATGTTATTCTCTGTGATCTACCTACAGTAAAAAAATTAAGGAAAAAAAAATAAAAATAAGCTTTATTAGTTACTTGTTAACTCGTCGAGTACCGGTTTTATAGACACAATTAAAGAACAATAGGTCGCGGTCACCGGTGACCGCTTGGTGTTTGACAGTTTAATAAAATGAACTACAAAGTTAAAAATAAAATAACTTTAATAACAAATATAACATAAAAATAAAAGCGAGTTACATTTTGATAGTATAAATAAGTACCTAAAGGATTTTCTTAACTCTCGCAATAATAATAATAAAATCTTGTCATAATAATAAATGGATTTGACTGCCTCGTTGGATGAGTGGTCGCAAGTGCGACTGCTGGGCAAGGAGTCTCGGGGTCGATTCCCGGGTCGGGCAAAGTATTATTGGGTTTTTAAATAACTTCTCAGTACTACCACGGAGTCGTGAATTATCTCCAGTATATGGCAATAGACTCACTCTCTATTCCAAGGAACTCACAACATAAATAGTGAAAAGTGGATGTTACATTGCACAGTGACCATTAAGTGTCGTAATATGCTCTTTCTATCCCTTTTGGGATAGAGGACGTTATGTTATGAATTAAAATTTGACCCTTCCTTCAACAATCCAATAAAAATATTGATGAAAGTAAGTTACTCAAATGCTAAATTAAAAACCCCAGAGAATAAAGACTTGTCAAACAAAAGATAAGCTTAATTCGAAAAGAACGTCCGAAAACAAAACAACATCTTTTAAAAATAAACAGGAATAGAATAAAGGTCACATCCGTGCGTCACTGCATGGGTGCCCACTGAAAATCAGTGCTGGGTAACCTGTATGCCTGGCTTACACTGAGAGGGTGACCCTTTTAGCATAGGCATGTTGTCAGCGTCTCTCTTCTAATTCTTCTGTTTTAATTTTTCAACACTTATAATTTTATTACTTCCACTGTCACACCTTTATTGTTTTTTTATATTTTATTTATGCTACATCGTGCCTGGTGCTGAATAAATGTCTTTTATTTCTTTCTTTCTTTCTTTACATAAAATGAAAAATCTAATCGTATTAGCGAATCCATGGCGAATTCAGGACATCGGTCAAGTCGAGCGTAGTTATTAGTAAGACCGGTTTGTGTACGTATGTATGAATTAATAATTCTATTTTAAACTGTCAAACACCAAGCGGTCACCGGTGACCGCGACCTATTGTTCTTTAATTGTGTCTATAAAACCGGTACTCGACGAGTTAAATACCTTGTACGAAAGCGGGCAACGCTCCATTAATCGTCAGTCGTATACTGAAATATTTTTACGCGTAAGACGCGACGGTTATTGTATTTTAACTGATGAATTTTCAGTTTTTTGCTTTCAAAAATCGTGCTTGTTTGGAGAAAAATACGTAACGTAACTTATAATAAGTATTACTTATTGTGAATAGTATACTTATTGTGTATAATAAGTAATTTATAATTTCTCAAAGTAATAAGTAAGGCCTGGGTAATCTTTACTTTTGCAAAAATAATTTTTAATTTGTGTTTTTTTCACGTTATAATTGAAGTTCCATTGTCTCTCCCTCATGAGAGACTAACAAAAAAATGACGTAGCTGCCCCCCACTCTTAAACTGTCAAACACCGAGCGGTCACCGGTGACCGCAACCTATTGTTCTTTAATTGTGTCTATAAATACGGTACTCGACGAGTTAAACTGATTTGTTTTATCTAAACATTGTTTTCTTATACGACAAAATAAAAAATACGTGTCTAATATTTTTCATGGGGATGGATAGAGCACTCGCTCTGAAGGGGCGCGATCTAGGGGACACAATGGATATTAAACCTTTGAGTATCGTTTATAGACACAATTAAAGAACAATAGGTTGCGGTCACCGGTGTCCTCGCGGTGTTTGACAGTTTAAGTCAAGTAAGTCATTATTTTTTCATTACCTTACTTACGGACTAATTCGATTTTTAAGTTTCATATCCTGACATCATCCCTATTCTAAACATCGTGCCATCGTTTAAAACAAAAACTGCTGTTTCAACAGCAAATTTTACCTAAAAGGTCTAATTCCACTGGCATGACTACTTACTGCACTTACTCACGTTCAGTTGTGTCAGGTATCAACTACTCGAGTTTTATTAATAAGAATTTCAAAGGTAGAGAGAAAGAGTAGCCACACGTTCAAATTAACTACAACAGTTTATAGTAACGGTTTAATGTTATGACAATAGGTTAAGTTGTAGCCAGTTGTCCATGTGTAACAATAATAAAAGTGGCGTTACTCTTAGCTCTTCAACGGTACGGGGAGTAGTAATCTTATAAAACTACTATTTCCGCGCGATTGCACCCGCTCTGCTCGGTTCCTATTGATCGTAGCGTGATGTTTTGTAGCCTATAACCTTTCTCGATAAATGGGCTATCCAACACAAAAAGAATTATTGAAATCGGACTGGTAGTTCTGGAGATTAGCGCGTTCAAACAAACAAGCAAGCAAACAAACAAATAATCAATCAAACAAACTCTTCAGCTGTATATAGTAGTATGTAAGTACCTATATATAAGAGTATAAGATTACATGTTTTATGGGATAAACGAGCAGACGGATTATGATTGTAAGCAATCGGCGTCGCCCACGAAAACCTGAAACACCAGGCTTTGCAAGTGCGTTACAGGCCTTTTGGGGATTAGGAATTTGAGGGTTGTTGGGATTCAGGGATTGGGAAGTTTGGGTGAGGGGGTTGTAATTGGGCCTCCGGTAACCTCACTCATACGACGAAATGCGACGCGACATTGTTTTACGTCGGTTTTCTGTGAGGTTTTTTTATGATAACATGTCTGGCAATTGGCGAAAAATGGCCAAGAACTGCGAAAAACTGAGAAACAAAAAACTGAGAGAAGAGGTTTCTAAGAGGACATTATCTTATCTATTCCAAGGACGTTGAAAATAAGATTCTAATCATCTTCTTGTTCTGTTATATGTAAGGTCTTTGTACAACAGATGATATAGACTAGAGAAGATGATGTAACGTCTAGTAGTAGAAGTTGTAGATAAGACATATTGTGTCGACTCCCAAGTAGATTGGGATAAAGGCAGGAAGAAAATGAGTCCTCGAGAAGTACTTCCGAGAGATGAGGATACTGAAATTAATGAAAGGTCTACATATTTTATTTGTAGGGGACGCATACAAACAGATGATTGTGGTAAGCGATCACGATCAGTGTCGTCTGTGGACACCAGCAACACCAGAGGAGTTGAAGCCGCGGAGACCTTAACGGGTTACCGGCGCTCCGGCTCGAAGTACAGGAGTAGGAAAGGGGTGATTTTTAGTCAGTAAGTGTCACTCGCTCCTGTCTCACCCAGGCGGGGAAAGTTATTCGATGATATTCCCCCCTTTGAAACACCAGGCGTTGCAAGAGGCTTTGAAAATTAGGTTATTGGACTAAAAAGACAATTTTAAAAGGTAAAGAACATGTCACTTTGTCCTGTAGTGCAGCTTCCTATGGAGAAAAATGAGCAAGAAACTCCATGGTTACGTTTTCGTAAGTTTTAATTCTAAAACTTGATATGTAAAATTTACCTTGGCTTCTACTCTGCGACCGGGTGGTCCGTGAATTCGATTCCTGGCCGGCGTCCTCCATATGCCAAGTATATTCCATTTTAGTTTAGAAAACACACATTTTTTAATCTGTAGTCTTTAATCACGTGGCGTCAAGAACAAACCCGATATGGCACATTGCGGGATAATTCAAATTTGGAATGTTTTTTTAACGTCAGATATAAAAAAAATATATTTGATTTGCAACCGTTATATCTAGTTTTTATGTATGACTGTCGCGTGAATTTGTTATTTCTGGCTTTGTTATTGTTTTCCAATGTATCGTGTGTTTAAAGGTTTTTTTTTTATATAAAGTTTTCACTTTTTAAATCACATTTCACTGCAAAATTAGTATGAGCGTCGAACCGTTACAATGGAGTTCGCGTGTAACGAATTTAAATCACTTTTTTAACACATGTAACACTAGCTGGCTAATTGTCTATTCTTATTTTTTTATTATATAAAAAAAACACTAATTTGTTTGTCTCCGTACGTCCGTCATTAGTTTAAACTTCGAAGGCACTGACAACAAACGTCAACAGTGCGTTTCACCCCTTGCGAAAGAAAGAGATAGCTGGAAAGTTGAATAGACCGTGACGGTGTATAAAAACGAGACAGCAGTATTGACCATTTGTCGGTTTTCGTGGAAAACGCTGTGGTTTGGAGGGAAAATATTGACCAATGGCGTGATTTTTCCCTTTTACGATCAAACGGTTAGGGGGTGAGTTCTATAATTTGAATATTTAGGGGAGGTGGACGATTATTTACCTGTCCTCAGGTAATAAGTAAAATAATTTACATATTTATTTATTTTAAACGTTTTATGCCTTCTAGTCAGAGTCGTGGATGAGTTTCAAAGATATGCGTGATTATGTTCATTAAGATTGATAGATAGGTGATAATTTTTGGTATTCAGGGGAAAGTCAGAGCAGTAATGGCGAATAAGCGCTAGACACGTATTTTTTTATTTTGTCGTATAATAAAACAATACTTAGATAAAATGAATCAAAAACGTCATTTCTACGTTTAAAATGCACATAGAAGTGACGTCACGCGACATTTCATATCAATATATCGTCGAAAGTATTCGGTTCTGTAAGAAAATGAAAAATACGTGTCTAATGATTTAAAATAATCTACCAGACGGACATTAAATAAGAATTAGGCATCTACCCTATTCCAATTGGTCATCATCAAACAAAAATTTGGAATAAGATCACGAAACCTAAAATTATCCAAAGAATGACGATAGCCCTCTTAAGAGACCGTATTGTAAGCAAAATTCTACTTACCGCATTACTAAAACACAAGCGTGATATTATATTACTAATCTTCAAACCAACTTCAACATTTGATGGTCAGCAGACCATATCACAGGTGCTCAGTGACCAATAAGTTGCGCACCGATATTGCACCGGTTCGATTCAATGGTGCGTTACATCATGAGTGCCATAAATTAGTATACACATCAGGTGGTGACTGAATCAATGAAGGGTATAAACAGCTGTCCTTAATTTTGAAAAACTAAAAAAATGGACTCAAAAAAGTCCGTTAAAAATCTGTATACCTAATGTTAATTTGGAATAAGTTACAAAAAATCGACTTATAAATCCCGTTATAAAATCTGTACAATGTTTATTTGAAGTAACTCAAAAAATACGACTTAAAAAAGTCAGTTAAAAAACCTGTTTGATGATCTAAAGATATTTTTGGGATTAGAGGACATGTCACTTGATAGTAAGCGATCAGCTCCGCCCATGGATATCAACACCAGAAGAGAGCCATGTGCGTTGTACCAGCTTTCAGTTTTATTCTTGAAGTATTAAAGGTCATATCAGTTCGAAATACCGCAAATAGTATACCACGATAGTTCTTTTCAAAGCTTTCTTGTGAGAAGTAGAAAGATTCGCGAAGAACGCAAAATCGCGTTGTAAACTGTCGATTATCTAATTTAAGTTAAGCGGATAGTACTGCTGTAGCGTGGGACATATATTTTTGTAAAGAAATAGGCGGATAACGAGCAGACGGATCACCTGATGGTAAGCAATCGGCGTCGCCCATGGACACTCGAAACATCAGAGGTGCTACAAGTGCGTTACCGGCCTTTTGGGGATTAGGAATTTGAGGATTGTTGGAATTTCGAGGAGTGAGTGAGGTTACCGGAGGCCAAATTACTCCAATTGACGTAACACAACGCTAGGTTGTTTCACGTCGCTTTTCTGCTCGGCCGTGGTAATACTCCGGTCGAGCCGGCCCATTCGTGTCAAAGTATGGCGCTCCCACACAAAGGTTACATACTCCCAGTTTATATAGATATTATAAATCGGAAAGTGAGTTTGTTTGTTTGTTTGTTTGTTCCGCTTTCACGCCGTAACTACTAAACTGATTGCTTTGAATTTTTGCTGACGTAAAGTTAGTGTTTGGATTAAATAATAGGCTACTTTTTATCCCGGAAAAATGTGATATTCTCGAGGGAAAACAAAAGTATTGGTATAGTTGGCTCTGTGTGTATTGGTATATGTCACATAGGCTCCTTTTTATCATTTTGTGATGCGAGCGAAGCCGCGGGTAAAAGCTAGTAGAACATAAATAGGAAAAATTGGTCTATTTATTCATTTATTTCAATTAAAACAGTATAACATTACAGTTATAAAACCAAGGCGTTTAGAGCCGCTGAGAACCTTACGTGTTACCGGGGCTCCGGCTCGAAGTCAGTAAGAGTCTGACACTCCCTCCCGCCTCACCCAGGCGGGAGAAGTCTTTCGATGATTTTCCCCCTTAAAAAACCAAGGCGTTTGACAACCTTTACTTAAAAACTACCCTTTAAATAAAATAGCAGATACTACAATACGCTACGCTTGACCATAAAAAATTAAAGGCTACACACCGTCCACCTCTCTATTGTGTAGCCATCACAATAATTACTACCGTGAGACAAGGAATAACAAAAGATGAAACCTTAATTGTTTTGTGTAATTACACACGGTAGAAGATAGCAAACCTTCACTAGTCATACATCCTTATTGACTGGACATCTACACTACATGAGCTGCTGTTTACATGTGAACATTAGCTCATGACGATACCTAAGTACGTGTGTCGCCTGGACAGTCAACCTCGCTACATCCTTGTTGACTGGACATCTACACTACATGAGTTGCTGTTTACATGTGAACATTAGCTCATGACGATACCTAAGTCCGTGTGTCGCCTGGACAGTCAACCTCGCTACATCCTTGTTGACTGGACATTTATTTATTATTTATTTATTTATTTATTTATTAAGAGTTACCAACATTTGATTACACAACTACAGTAAGCATAATACAAGCAAGCAAAGAGGAATGAGCCTATGTGTAACAAACAATTACAGGTAACCACAACATTTACTGGTACAAATATGTGTATATAAAAAAAAAGTTCTTAATTACTATCCTTAAGTCTAGTTCTAACACAAAATACTAAACCATATAGGTACATAATCCACTATCTGTGTAGATTGGATAATATGCATTTATGCACGCTGGAACGGAACCGACCAAGCGAGTCCAAGTGAACATCCGTGGAATCAGAGTATTTATTCAGGGCGCGACTCAGACGTGGTATGGGTGAGTTTGCACCAAGCACTGTTCTACGACGCGGTGGGTATAAAGGGGTTATCTGTTTACGAGGGTAACAAAAAGGAACTCTATAATTTACCTTGCTCAAGAGCTGTGGACAGTCTACACCATTGTTTAAAATCTTATACATAAAGATACAATCGGAGAGTTCTCTGCGATCAGATAAAGAGACCATCCCGAAATGTGACAGTTTGTTCAAGTAAGAAGATTTTTTGTCTATCTTGTTCTCCCTGCGTAACAAATGCCATAAGAACCTCTTCTGAATGCGTTCTAATCGAAGGGAATGTACCGCATAATGTGGTCTCCACACTACACTGCAATAATCTAAGATACTTCGCACAAGACTATTATACAGCATGATTTTCAGCCCAACATCGCGAAAGACTTTACAGTTTCTTATCACGAAACTCAACATTCGGGAAGATCTCCCCACAATGTTTTCCAGGTGAGGGAGGAAAGTCAACCTTTTATCAAAACAAACTCCGAGGTCCCTAATTTGGTCTACAGCCTGAATTCTGTCACCTCCTATGAAATAATCAAAGCCTATTATTTTGCTTTTTCTAGAAAACTTAACATGAAAACATTTTTTTCCGTTCAAATCCATACCATTACAATAGCACCATTCAGTCAATCTACAGAGATCGCTCTGAAGGAGCATGGCACTTTTTCTGATTCTATTATCCTCCCCAACTTTAAGTCGTCAGCATACATAAAGCTCTCAGAGAATTGGAAACATGTCGGCAAATCATTTATAAACACGTTAAAAAGTATTGGACCCAGATGGGAACCCTGCGGCACCCCAGATGTAACCCTCCAATTGCCAGATCGAAAGCCATTAACAACGAAAAGAAGAACGCTCAGCAAGATATGATTGCACCCATTCCAGCGAGGCACCCGCTAACCCGTATGTGCAAAGTTTCTGCACCAGCAACCGATGTGGGACGCGGTCGAAAGCCTTACTAAAGTCCGTGTAAACCACATCGTATTGTTTGTTGGAGTCTATAGCTTCAGTCGCCATCTCAGTGAACGTGACTAGATTGGTACAGGTTGATCTTTTTTTAACAAATCCATGTTGGCTACTACTAATATACCTACTAAAGTGACTTTGAATGTAGGGGCACACCAGAGCTTCAAATATTTTTGCAAAGGTCGAGAGAATCGAGATTGGCCTGTAATTACTTACAACTGTCTTACTATTACATTTATGAATAGGTACAACCATAGCAACTTTCCATTCAGCTGGGAAGACTCCAGTCCTAAGGGACTCATTAAAAATTAACAGAAGTGGGCTTACCAAATATTTAGCACAGGTCGATATGAACACCGGGGGTATTCCATCAGGTCCTGCACCCTTATTACAGTCCAAGTTCTTTAACCTAGTGAGAAGTGAATCATACTCTATAGCAGGGAATGTCATATTTAAACCGTAACTATGCATATTATTTAAAAAGAGATTATTATTGTTGTCATGCGACACCACACCCCAGCACTTTTGGTATGTGTATATACCGACGCAAAACAACGCGCAAACAATTCGCATATATTCGACCCGTTCGAAGTCGTTATCGTCCCATCAGTCATTGCTACAGGATACGAGCATGAACTACCCCGCCTAGCTTTGACATAAGACCAAAAGAACTTAGGATTATTTTTAATCTTTCTCTCCAAATCAACTATATAATTTCGATAGCATATATCTGCCACCTTCCCACAACGCCTACTTACCAGTTTGAGCTCTATCTCATCCATAGGATTTTTGTATTTTTTGTATCGGTTTCTAAGTTTATATTTTTCTTTCAGCATTCCTATTAGATTCCTATCAAACCATACAGGGTAGCGAGTGCATCTCTTTCTGCACTTTGGTACGAACTTCTCAATTGCTGTACGAATATATTGATAAAAGACATCAAGCAACACATCGACACTATTCAAACCCTTGAATATTTCACTCCAATTCAGTTCAGCCAAAAACCTGTGAATCCGAACATAATCTGCTTTATAGTAGTTATATTTTGTGTTACCAGTGCTAAAAGAGAGACCCTCCTCAAATTCAACAGGAATGTCTATTTCCAGAGGTGGATGCAATTTATCGATTGTACTCAAACCATTTGAACATTCCGTCACACAACAAGAAGGCAAATCACTAATCACCAAGTCAAGTATTCGCCCGGACTTGTTACAGATGCTATTATGCTGAGTCAGCTCATTCAAATTCATAAAATCAATTAAAGTTCGACTAACGGTAGGAACGATGTAAACACTAGAAGAATCACGTAGTCGGTCCCAGTCCACAAGCCCTTGATTAAAATCACCCACAATAACGGTACACATATCATCTATTTTATCAAAGATTTTATTACATTGATCCACAAAATGTTCCAATACAGATCGTTGCACTGGAGGTGGCAAATAAACAGCGCAGAGAGCCATTCGATGCCAGGCACCCCCCTTAACAATATCTATAGTTATCCATAAATCCTCACAATTACTATCCCATTTATACATACGTTCACATTTTATTTTTTTAGACACTGCTATCAGTACGCCACCCCCATCCTTTGTATTATTAAAGTCACATTTCTCCCTATCCCTTCTATATACATTGTACCTGTCATCGAAAAGCTCACCACTCAGTACCTTATCATTAAGCCACGTCTCCGTAAGAATAACAATATCATAACCCACACAACATAAGTTACGATAGAACTCGTGGGTTTTTGTTCGTAATCCGCGTGTGTTTTGGTAATATAAACTTAAATGAGAGAATTTTAATTATAATTTCAAATAACCAATACAATTGCTGTGCGGCGGGTATTAAACTAACTTATCTAGAGCTGCCATATTTTTCACAATAATATATTGCGCCCCGTCCTGCCTTCTCATAAAAATCTTTCCATTCCTCACCCAAACATATCTATATTGTTTCTCTTTAGCTTTCAACCTGGCTGCCGCATGAAGAGCCTTGTTGCTCGGAGACAAGTGCTCGGTTACAAAAATCGGGGTTTTATCACCAGAAAAACCAAGAATTGAGCTGTTTAATTTATTTTCAGGATTGTTTTTATTATATTTTATTGTTGACGCAAGCAACCTATCTCGAACTCTCGTTGAAACTAACTGTACAACTATGGAACGTGGTCGTGCACTGGAGCCATCCTGTTTGGCTGTGCGAGTACAATGCACAATGTCATCTTCCTGGATGTTACAACTCACCACACTGCTAAGCTTGTTAACAATATCATACAAATTTTCATTCTTCCTCTCTGGCACACATTGCAGTTCCACGTTGCTGCATCGAGCTTGCTGCTGCATTTGATTCATGCACAGCTTGACATCATCGAGACAGGTTTTCAAGAGCGAGTTCTCCTTCTTAAGGTCCTTTATAGACTCCTTGGACTCTTTATTATCCATAACAAGTTTATCGTATTGATTACTCAAGAAGTTCAATGATTCGGACATTTGCAGCATTTCACTCCTGATCGCCGCTAACTCTCTGTTAATAGTAGTTGAGATAGTTTTGTTCATTTTATCCAGCAAAACATCTATTTGTTTTGACATAGTTTCTTCAATAATATTTCGTATATAGTCATGCTTATGCGATTCCGGTGACAGTTGAGGTGGAGAGTTCAACATCTGTCTTTTATTGCTTCGCGTAGTACCAAAGTAGC